GGTGTGTCCTGGCAAGGGAGGAACTTTGACCCAAGGATGAGCTGTGTGCTTCAGGGATTGAATGAAATTGCCTTCCAAGCCCACCAGAGATGATTGATGAGTGTTGTTAATCTGATGTATCCAGCAGCTTTACTCAGCCTCCAGGGAGAACACTTGAATTGGGCTGCTTTCCCTTGCCAATTATGGAACAGATAATGGTTCTGTATTTACAGGGCAGAAAGATTCCCAATAAACCATTGAACCCACAGGTACTTCATGTGGAGCTGCCCTGGATTGAACTAGAACTAAGCTTTGGGTTACTAGAACTGGTTCTGTAAATGAGGCAAGAGCTAAATAATGATTTCAGGACACTAAAGTTAAAATGGCTGGAGGGTATTCCTGGCTGGAGGTGAAGAGGAAAAACAACAACATTCCTGTAAAGGAGAGATTTGGGGAAGAGGAGAAGGAAAATACAGGACTACAGCAGCCTTCAGTGTCTTCTCAGGTGAAATTTGGAGCAGCGTGGGCTAATCAAAAAGTATTCCTGACCCAGATGGCTCCTCTTTGTCTTGGTAATCACAGTGTGCCCATGCTGGAGGTGCAGGTTCTCTCTGCAGTGGGGGACAGTGAAGAGCTCAGTCAGTGCTGTGGGCTGTGCCCAGTGCCCAGGCAGGACAGGCTGTGAGGGGCAGAACCACCCTCCTGCCTGGCTGATGCCAGGCCAGGCTTGGGGAGCAGCCCTGGTTTAGCACCTGGATGTTAAAAAGCTTGTGCAGAGCTGGAGGAGGTGGTGCAAAGCTGGGGTCTTCTCTCTACCCAGATTGCCCAGTTTGTGCCTGTAACTGGCCAGAAGGGAAGACAGTGGGAATTTGGGAAAGGCACTGAGAACAGGCAGCACTTTCAGACTGGGGCTGGTGTCTGGGACAGCCCATGAGAACAGAGAATCCTGCTGGGATGGAGCCTCTGGGCACACTCAGGAAGGGTTTTTTCCCCTGAAGATGCTGCTGGTGACTTGTGGCAGCAGCTGTGTGAGGAAAGCTGATCTTTGGAATGAGATATTTTAGCCCCTGAGCCTTGGAGGGTGAGGCCATCCCTGTGTGCCTGGGTGCTCCATGGTGCTGGTGCTGCTGTCCCTGTCCCCCCTCCCACCCTCTGTAAGGAAATCCACAACTGCTGCTACCAGGGCTTGAATTGCACCTCCTGAAAGCCCTCCTGGGCTGATGCCAAGTGTTTATTTGGACATCTTGTTTTCTCTGGACAGTGCAACTAGAGAATAAAAGGAACTGAGTTAAAAGCAGGCTTAGGTTCCTATGTAGCTGCTTTCTGTAGCAAATTCACATCTGGGTGAGAGAGGCAAAGTTACTTTCATGGAAAAGTTCTAGCCACCTCCTGCTGAGAGACAGGAAAAGTGCTAAAGTGCTTCCTTCCCCAGTCTGATCTTTGAAGGGAGTTCTGTCTGTGACAGAACCTTCTGGTGCCCTCTCTGCACCTGTCACAAAGGTAAAACTTTGCTGTGCCCTCCAGGCAATCATGGGAGGGGAAACCTCACCCTCCCCACCCCTGGAGAGCTGGAGGAATGTGAGTGTTGGACAGAGAAAATGGACAATCCCTTCCCACTCCTGCTGGAACTGAGAGGAAATCTGAGTGTTTGTCAGAACTGGAGCTGTTAAAAGCTGGAGATGGTGGTTGATGTGGGAGGTTTGCACCCCTGAAGGAGCTCAGGGTGACACTGCCACTGCTGCCATTGGTTTTTCTGGAAGGGGGTGGAATTGTTGCCATCACAGTGACAGGCTGGAGTGAGGAGTGGCTGTGTGGTGGCACTGTCACCTCATATACCTCTTGCTGTGTCTTTCTTTGGAACAGAAGCTGCTTGGCCTGATCTTGCTGTCACCTTTTAGCCACTTTTCTGTGTATCCAAGTGGCCAGACTTGAATTCTATGAGGGATGGCTTGGAGATCAGGCTGTGGCTCATCAGTGTCAGTCTGGTTCTTGTTAAGCTTTTCTGCCTCGTTCTGTTTGTACCACCTGTGCCCCTGGAATTGTTTCCCCCCAGAATGAGCTTCTCTTCTGCCCGTGCTGTCCCCAGAGAGGGCACAGAGCTTTCTGCAGCATGCCCAGGGAGGGGACACTGCCCTGGCAGGGCTCACCTGGGCACGAGGCTCTCAGGTGCCCCAGCTGCTCCCACAGCCTGCAGGGAGGTTTGGGCACCCTGGGCTGCCCAGGGAAGGTGAGAGGGAGGTGGCTGAGGAGAGCAGGTGAGGCTGTGTCCCCTGTGTGAGGCTGTGTCCCCTGTGTGAGGCTGTGTCCCCTCTGCTCCGAGCTCCTGGGGCACAGCTGGGGAAGGGCTGCTCCTCCTGCCATGGCTGTGCTCTCCCCAGTTCACTGTGACAATCCAGAGCAGCCGCCCCTGTCCCAGGCTCCCCCTGCCACCAGCACGGTGTGTTCTCAGCCAGGTCACTGCGTGCTGTGGCAGAGCCCGAGCCTGAGCTCCCTCTGGCGGGATCGGCAGCTCTGGGGCAGCCCCAGCCCCTCTGCTGAGTTCAGAGTTGTCCTGGTAGCACGGGAGGGCTCCAAGGATGACCCACGTGTCATGCTCGGGTGTCTGTCCTGCTCGGGGGTGACACCCTGTGCCTGTCTCTGTGCCCTGCACACGCTGTGCCTCCGCAATGTCACCGAGGAGGGAGCTCAGAGCAGCCGGGCCCTGTCCCTCAGAGGGCTTTTGTTGCTTTTCTTTGAGTGCCTTTTGAGTTTGTCTGGAGCCAGTCCCACCCAATCCAGCAGGATTTCTAGTTTTGTTTACAGTGGACTGTCAGTTTTGTTTTTATTCTTGCTCTTTGTGGCAGTAACTTGTCTGATGTTACTGTGAATATCAAGAATCTCCTGTACATAATTAACCAATAAAATAGATTGCATTTTACTCTGGTGGGGCCGTGTTTTGGGAACAGTTCTTGGTGTTCCCACCAACTTTGGGAACAGTTCCCCTAGGAGGGAGCAGCAGGGCCCAGTGTTCCTGTTCAGGTGCTGTGGGGTGGGTGAGGAGCAGCATCCCCTGGGCCTCCCCAGCTCCCTGGAGCTGCTGCAATGGGAACGTGGGGATTCACTGAGAAACCTCTTTGGTCCAGCTCAGTCACACTTTGTGGGGAGGGATGGGAAGAGGAATTGGTGCCTCCCAGATCTGCCTGCCCTGGAGAGGAGTTTTATGGAGCTGTAACAACCTCTGAGGAGTCCTCTCAGAGCTGGGGCCTGCTGGGAATGCCAGCCCAGCAGAGCAGCCCCTGATCATTGTATGTGGTGTTAGACAGGAACTGCATCTCTTTGCTAGGCCAGCCTGGGGCTCTTTCCAGTTGGAAAAGTTTGAAATTCTGGATATTTTCCCAGCCTGACCTGGACTTTGATGCACCTACAACAGAGGAAGCCTGAATTTAACTGAAGTCCGCTTTGGAGGAATGCTGAAAAACCAGCCCTGGTCACTGTGCTGGAGATGGTCAGAAACAGCTGGAGAGTCCCCCTGCCTCTGTGCTTCAGAGTAACCTGTCCTCCCTCCAGAGGCAGGGGGAGCCTCCAGCTCCTGATTCCCTGCAGGTGTCCTGCTGCAGGCCCAGGGCTGTGGCAGCCTGCCCTGCTTGTTTCCCAGGCTGCAGGGAGCAGTTTGCTGAGCACCAAGAAGCTGCTCAGAATTTTAAGTTGCTTCCTTCAGCTCACCCCAGTGTGTGCCAGACCCCTCCTGAGTGGGCTCTGCCCCAAACCTCACCTAAATAAAATCTGACCTCACCCTGCCCAGCACCTGCTGAGGGTAAATCCAGGGACCAGCTGAAGAAATCCACGTGCTCTTGGCCTTTCCAGGTGCCACCAGCCATAAGGAACTGTTTGGTGGCCTTTGCTCCAAGCAGCAAACAGCCCTGGGCTCCACTCCAGGGGTGACAAACCAGGGCAGCTGGGGGACACTGAGCAGAGCTGGATGGAGGTGGAGCAGGGAAGTGCAAAGGAGAAGCTGCTCAGTCAGAGAATCTGGGCTGTCCCTCCCCATCCATGAGGCCAGCCCATGATCCAGGCCTGCAGCCACTCCCTGCCCAGGGCCCAGTGAGACACTGCAGCAGCTCTGGGAATGTACTTGGGATCTGAGGTAACCCAGGGGATTCTCTCCTGCTTGCCTTGGGAAGGACAGAGCAGTGGCACCTTTATCCCAAAACACTCACCAGACACTCCCAGCACCTTCTCTTCAGTGGGGCCACCAAGGTAGGGTGTCTGTTGTGTCTATTTCCCTTATGATTTGACTGAAATAAAGCTTGCTGGTTATGGGCCAATAACTATTTCAACCCCAGTAATTTTGATGTTACAGCAAAAGGATTTTTCCCAAAGGTAGTAAAAAAAGGGCAAAGAGCAACAGCTAGATTGCCATGTAAATACAAGCACCTTTGAGCCAAAACAGACTTGACAAACTTCCCAAAATTATAAGATGCAGAGAAGATTCAAAAGATTAAAAATTATTAAGGGGAAATTTGTGTATGTGTGTGCTATCCACATGAGCCTAATGTGTGCATGAAACTGATAACAACTTGAAAAATTGTTGTTTGTTATCATTTAAAGATTTGTGTTTTCAAGAGTGACAGTTCTTTACATTTTTCTGATGCATTTAGCAGAATAGAGAGGAAAGAATAGAAGGAAAGGAAAAGGAGAAGAAATAAGTTCTAAAATCGAGATCTCCTTTCAGACACTTCTGATTTTAACACCACATGCTGTTGCAAACAATTATGTGAACCAGCTCATAGGTGAGCTCTGTGAAATACAAATTACTAGAAAAACGCAGATTGTGAAAGAAAAGCAAGAGAAACCTGTGGGTTTGCTCAGATCTAACACTTAAAGAGTAAGATTGATTCTCTCGGGAGGTTCAGGTGGCCACTCCACTGTCTGGTTAAGATCACCAGATCACTTTCCCAGAGGATCCTCCCGCCGTGTTTTATCCCCCTGCTCACAGCACGGAACGGGTGATCCGGGTGTTTCCACCCCCACCGGTCACTGCAGCCGTGGGATTATGATTCTTTTATTATAAAAAATAAGTGTTTATTTAAAACAAAACACTCGGCAAAGGGGCGTTCACGGGCGTGTTAACCAAACTTAAAAAACAAAAATGTAACAGCTCGGAGGGGGCACGGCGAGGCCCGCCCGGCTGAGGGGGCCGGGGCTGCCGGGGGTCCCGGGGCAGCCCGGTCAGAACTCGAAGGTGCCGAAGTGCGCGGTGCGGCCGCCAGCCTTGGGCTGCGGCTTGTACCCGATGCGGTCATTGATGACCTGCTCGCGGCTCTTGTGCTCCGTGCCCAGCGCTCCGATCGCCGCCGCCTCCTCGCCGCCCCCCGCCGCCGCCTCCGCCTCGTCGCGCTGCTTCCTGCGGCTCTGCGGGCGAACGGGCCGGTCAGGGCCGGGGGCGGGCCGAGCCCCCCGCGCCCGGCCCCGCGCGCACCTCCAGCTCCTTCCGGACGCTCTCGAACTCCTCGATGTCGTCCAGCTTCAGCTCCAGCCGCGTCGGCTTCCGACGGAGCATCGCGACTGGCGGCACCACGACCGGCGGCACGACCGAGCGCTCCCGCCCTCAGCGGGCCCCGCCCGGCGTGCCACACCTCCCGGCGTGCCCCGCGCGAACTGCCCTTAGCGGGCACTGCACCTCCCGGCGTGCCCTGCGCGAACTGCCCTTAGCGGGCACCGCACCTCCCGGCGTGCCCCGCGCGAACTACCCTTAGCGGGCACTGCACCTCCCGGCGTGCCCTGCGCGAACTGCCCTTAGCGGGCACCGCACCTCCCGGCGTGCCCTGCGCGAACTGCCCTTAGCGGGCACCGCACCTCCCGGCATGCCCCGCGCGAACTGACCTTAGCGGGGCTGCCACTCCTCCCGGCATGCTCTGCGCGACCCGGAAGTGGCCGTGAAGCGCCGGAGCCCGAGCACCGCGAGTCTCGCCCCCTTCCCGCTCTCTGGTTCCCGTTCCCGCTCTCTGGTTCCCGTTCCCGCTCCCATTCCAGGCTTCTCATCGCTTCCTGGGCTTGTTCCCGGTCCCGCCATGGCCACCGCACGGGCACCGGCGGCTCGCGGCGGGGCCCGGCCCCCCGAGGTGAGTGTCCGGGAGATGGGGGCGGCTCTGGGCCCGTTCCCCGCACGGGCCCGCAGGAGCGGGAGAGGCCGCGGGGGTTGCGACTGCTATTTCTGTGCGGGGTTTTCGGTGCCCCGGTGACAGCGGAGCTCTAAAGGAGCCCGCAGGCTCCCGTGTTTTCCTGCACTTGTACCCAGTCCTGGCTGCTCTCCCGGGCAGTTCGTGTGAAGCCTCTCCGGGGCGAGGGAGACGTGCACCCCTCACTCCTCAGCATTCCAGGGAGGGAGCTGGAACTGGAGCATGGCATCGCTCCTGGCTGTGGTGCTCAGCAGCAGGAGGGAAAGCTCCGTGTTCTAAAGCTTGCTCAAAAAATACCTCTGCAGATAATGAATAGTAGGGACCCAACACTGCCTGATTCCAGCAATTTAATGTGGCATTTTACTTCTGTGCCTTGGCCTTCAGGCAAAAACCTCAATGTCCGGTGGCTGCTCCATCCCTGGCAGTGCCCCAGGCCAGGCTGGACAGGGCTGGGAGCAGCCTGGGACAGTGGGAGGTGTCCCTGCCATGGCAGGGGTGGCACTGGATGGGCTTCAATGCCCCTTCAACCCAAAGCAGGCTGGGATTCTGAGAGATCCTTTAGCGGTGCCCAGCCCTGTTCTCCTGGCACAGGCAGGCTGTTTGCTGTGTGCTCTGTCCCCACACTCTGTGTGCTCTGTCCCATGCTCTGTGTGTCTGTCCCACACTCTGTGCTCCCCTGTTCCTCCCTGCAGCCCCCCAGGGCCAAGGCTGCCGAGGAGGCCGAGGCTCCCCCGGCCAAGCGGGCGCCCATCTTCTACGGGAGCCTGGAGGAGAAGGAGCGGGAGCGCCTGGCCAAGGGCGAGGCCGGGCTGCTGGGCAAGGAGGGCATGAAGGCAGCCATGGAGGCTGGCAACATCAACATCAGCAGTGGTGAGCATGTGCAAGCACCCTTTGTTATCCCTCCCCGCAGATGTGACACTTCCAAATGTCTCTGCTTGGTCTCTGGGCATCACCTCAAAGCACTCAGGGGTGGGTGGCTCCATGCTTAGATCTTCCCATTCCAGAGGGACCCAGGGCAGGGGGGGCTCTGGGACAGCTGAGGGAGGGATCCAGGGCTCTGGGGGAGCTGAGGGGGAGGGATCCAGGGGCTCTGGGACAGCTGAGGGAGGGATCCAGGGCAGAGGGAGAGCTGAGGGAGGGATCCATGGGTGTGGGGGCTCTGGGTGAGCTGAGGGAGGGATCCAGGGGCATGGGGGAGCTGAGGGAAGGATCCAGTGGCATGGGGGCTTCAGGGGAGCTGAGGGAGGGATCCAGGGCTCCGGGGGAGCTGAGGGAGGTGTGCCGTGTCCCTTTCTCAGGACTTCCCAAACCCTCCTGTGTCCCCGGCTGGGAGGGGCCCTGCCGGGGTGGGGATGCTGTGGGTGACCTGCAGAGGCCCCTGGCAGCCCCAGGTGTCCCCTGGGCTGTGCTGGCTGCGTGTGCTCAGGCTGTGTGTGTGCCCAGGGGAGGTGTTTGACCTCGAGGACCACATGAGCGAGCGGCAGGCCGAGGTGCTGGCGGAGTTCGAGCGCCGCAAGCGCGCGCGGCAGATCAACGTGTCCACGGACGACTGCGAGGTCAAGGCCTGCCTGAGGGCCCTGGGAGAGCCCATCACGCTCTTTGGAGAGGGCCCTGCGGAGCGCAGGGAGAGGTGCTGGGCCTGCACTCGGGGAGGGGACACCTGGCAAACCCCAGAGCTTCTCCTGGCAGTTGGGGTGCAGAGAGCCCTGCCCTGGCAGGGCTGTGCCACAGAGACAGCTGGGACACCTGGCGGTGCTCACCTGGACAGGAGAAGCTCCAGGGAAAGCTCAGAGCTCCTTGCAGAGCCTAAAGGGGCTCCAGGAGAGCTGGAGAGGGACTGGGGACAAGGGATGGAGGGACAGGACCCAGGGAATGGCTCCCACTGCCAGAGGGCAGGGATGGATGGGACATTGGGAATTAGGAATTGTTCCCTGTGAGGGTGGGCAGGCCCTGGCACAGGGTGCCCAGAGCAGCTGGGGCTGCCCCTGGATCCCTGGCAGTGCCCAGGAAAAGCTCTGTGTTCTAAAGCTTTTTCAAAATAAACCTCTACAGATAATAAATAAAAGGGGCCCAACATTGCCTGATTTCAGCAATTTAATGTGGCATTTTACTTTTGTGCTTTGGCCTTCAGGCAAAAACCTCAATGTCCAGTGGCTGCTCCATCCCTGGCAGTGCCCAAGGCCAGGCTGGACGGGGCTTGGAGCAGCCTGGGACAGAGGAAGGTGTCTATGCCCATGGCAGGGCTGGCACTGGATGGGCTTTAAGGTCCCTCCCATCCCAAACCAGTCTGGGATTTCTGTTCTAAGGACCCCAAGGCAGTGGGAATGTCACACTGGTATTTGTTAGGAGAGCTGAGAATTCCCTGACTCAATCCAGCTTCATGACTTCCCTTCCAGGTTAAGGAACATCCTCTCGGTGGTTGGCACAGACGCGTTAAAGAAGACCAGGAAAGATGATGACAGGTCCAAAAAGTCCAAAGAAGAGGTGAGGGTGTCTCCTGTCCCCTCAGTGCTGAGGGAGGGATGGTGTATCCACCTCTGATTTATCCAGGACTCCTGCCTTTGGCCAGTCTCTGGATTCTCATGTCGTCCCTTCAGTTTTTTTCTGTGTTGCCCATTTCAGCAAATCTGTGGCAATGTTTGTTCTCAGTGAGGAGCACCAAGTGTGGTTTTTACTCACAGACCTTGCTCTGTGCTGCTCTCAGTGTGCAGACCAGGAGAGCAGGTGTGTGGGCTCTTACCTACTGGAACAAGTCCTTTACTTTCCTTCACACTTGGGAAGAAAAAAATATGTTCCTGCTGCTGCATCTGTCTCTGCCTTTGATTACTCTTTGTGCTTCTGTCTCTCTTCTGAGTCTCTTTTGCCTTATTATTTTTGAGCTGTACTGTAAGAAAGAATTGGACTTTACTGGGTGATGTGTAAACAAGGAGGGAGTTACATGTCAGTAAATGCAGATGAGTCAGGGTTCAGCTGGAATGTTGAGTGAAGTGGCAGCATTCAGGATTGGATCTGTAGGGCAGAGAGTTTGATTTATCTCTCCAAATCCCTTTTCCTGGCCCTTAGTTGTGCAGAAGGCCCTTAAAAAGAGGCCAGAGCACAGCAGGGTTTGGGGCAGGTGCTGCTGGGAGGAGCTGAGGGGAATGAACACAGGGGCAGCAGCACCAGGGCTTTTCCATCAGTTTTATTCTTTTTTTACAGTATCAGCAAACCTGGTACCATGAGGGCCCACGCAGTCTGAAAACAGCCAGGCTGTGGCTGGCCAACTACTCCCTCCCCAGGTGAGAGAAACCAGAAAACATTTGTCAATGCAAGGGCAGATCCTGCTGTGGGGAGCACAGGAAATGCAGGGAGTGGGGAGGCAGGTCCAGTGAGCCCAGAGCTTGAGCTCTCGGGGACTGATCCAGGGAAGAGCAGAGAAAAGGCATTTCCAGGAGCAGGGAAGGAGCAGTTCTGGGGCTCCCACCCCACCTTTGCTCTCCCCAGGGCAGCGAAGAGGCTGGAGGAGGCCCGGCTGCTCAAGGAGATCCCTGAGGCCACCAGGACATCCCAGAGGCAGGAGCTGCACAAGTCCCTGCGGGTAGGTTTGGCTTTGGCAGCTGCTCCACTGCTGTGCTCACAAGGTTTGGCTGATTCTCTGAGAGCCCAGCAGGAATTCAGCTGCCTGAGGTGCTGTCCACATTCACATCAGTCTCTGCAGTCTTGGGAAATTCTCCTTTTCCTCTTTCCCTCTGTCTCTGAAGCCTTTTCTGACTCTTTCAGAGTGCTCCAGGGAGATGTAATTTGTCCCTGTGCATGGCAGAGGGTGCAGAGACATCCCTGTCCTGCCTTGCCACTCACCTGTGAGGCTAAAGGAATGTATTCCTGCCTCTGGCTGGGGAGCCCAGGAATGCCAGGGAAATACCAACTCTGGGTGCTGAACGTGGTTGGGATGACTCTGAGATGCCCTTTCTGAGCATGCTAAGCCAGATTCCCAGCTTAACCAAACAGAGAGGCTCAGGCAGAGCGTGCTGCCCCCCTAATCCTGTTTACTCCAGAGGATTTGCTTCTCCCCTCTGCCCTGTCTGTCTGGTTGGATTCTTTGGCTGAGTTGTGGGCAGATGCCAAACTCCAGCCAGCTCTGTGTCAGAGCTGCAGCTGCAGAGCTCTGGGGCTGGGGGCACATACCATGGGTGGCCCTGGGGGGCTGAGCTGTGCCCCCAGGCTGTGCTGGGCCAGGCTTGCCCTGGCCCTCCTGCCTGGACTGGAGTGGCTCTGAGGCAGCATCTCCCTTTGCAAGTGACTTTCCAAGGGCCTCACCTCAAGCTTTGGCTGGGGATAGCTCTGGGCTGGTTGTACTTCAGTCATTTATTGATGATTTTCTTTGTCTTTCTTACAGTCCTTGAATAACTTCTGCAGCCAGATTGGGGACGATCGCCCGCTGTCCTACTGCCACTTCAGCCCCAACTCCAAACTGCTGGCCACAGCCTGCTGGTGAGCCTGCCTTGGCAGCACCTGCTCTGGGGGCTGGGAGAGCACAGCAATGGAGCCTTGGGAGTTGTGAGAGGCT